GGCCGGAGAAGTGGTGCGTCGGTGCGCGCCCGGGATCCGAACCTGGGCCGCCAGTAGCGGAGCGTGCGCACTTAACCGCTAAGCCACGGGGCCGGCCCCTCTATTTTTTTTTAATAGACTTATTTTTTTAGAGCAGTTTAGGTTCACAGCAACATTGAGCAGAAGGAGAGATTTCCCATATACTCCCTGCCCCCACACCTGCACAGCCTCCCTCACTATCAACATTTTTTACTAAGTACATTTTTACGATCAGTGAACCTACATTGTCACCTAAAGTTCATAGTTTACATTAGGGTTCACTCTTGGTGTTGTCCCTATGTTTTTACTCTTTATCTTGTCTATAATTGTCCAGAAGTTTCATATTCAGAAGTTTTAAGAAAACAAGAACAATGTTAGTATTTCAAAAACTTAAAATTTAAATATGCTGTATTTATTCATTAACAACCAAATTTTATATGTCAACATTAGGAATTTTCTTTGGGTCCATCAATCTCTAAGTTTCTAATTATATTTCACAATTTTGCTTATTGCATGAGTAATAGTCAGTTGTATAGTTTTTATAGCAGTAATTAATCCAGCTCACACACAACTATAAAATGGGTGAAGAATATTTTCTTTAAAGGGAAACCAATTGAAAATATATCATTGTTCTCAGGGTAGACATAGTAAATGATACATTTTGTAGTAGACATATATATTAAGAGTAGCTACCTAAAATGTTTGTTTAAAACTATTTTAGGTACACTTTAGTCATTCATAGTTGCAAAGGCAGTAAAAATTTAGTTTGCTTACATTCTGCAGCAATAGTACTGTAAAAAAATTATTGCAATTGAAAGACCCTGGAATTCACTCCTGTGAATTGGTTCACAGATATTTGAGTGTTTGTCGTCTGTAAGGCATTAACCATTTCTGTCATTTCTGTTAGGCCATATCATCTTCAATGTGAAGTATTTGGAGGTTAATTAATGTGATCAAGAAAAATATTTTATCCTTTTGACCTCAATATGTTTATTGTAATTTGTTTAATAGTATAAGAAAGAGCTTCGATTTTACATTATTAGCATAGTTATAATCTTTTTATTTAATCTGAAGCATGCTTCTTAGTCTTATATTTAGAAACATCCTAATTTATCATTTAAACATTGATGTAAAAATATGTCTACTTAATTAATCTTTGTTTTTTTCCTAAAGGTATTTACTATGCAGGATCTATTACAACTCATTAATATCAGCCCCAAATCCAGTCTCTACAAATCACTGGTAGGATTGTTTAGTTTTTTTAACCTGCTTTGGTTTGTTAATTATAACTGAATAGTTGAATAAAGGTAAAATATTTTCTTTTAACAGATTTCAGGATTTGATAAAGAAAACCAAAAAGGTAGGAGCCTTCATCTTTGTAGAGAATAGCAACATTTTTGTCATGTATTTTTTCCTATAAAAGGGTGAAACTAATGATTTTTAAGGGGAAGAGTAGGGAATTTAATTTGAATTAAATCATTTGATTTTTTTCTTGCTGACAATACCTTACCCTTTAAATAAACAGAACGATTCATCTGTTTTGACAAATATAGATCATTTCCCCCAAGGTTCAATCTTTTTAATAGCTCTTAGATACTCAAATGAGAAAACTGCAGACAGTATCAAGGATCTTTCAATCCTACAAATGGCTTGAAATATCCTCTTTGTAAAGATACCCACTGTTTGGAACATTTCCACAAAAAAACAAAAACTAATAACGTTTAAGCCAAGTGTCTTTGTATCCTAGATATCCCGCTCAAGTACAGTTTATAGAGTATTAATATTTGCTTAAAGAATGAAATATCTGTTCAGGAATAAGCATTAAGTGTTTATATAGGCCTGATAAATTGCTTTAATTTTGGCCTTGATAATAACCTTCATAGAATCTATAACTGCTATGAGATAATAGAAAATATATATATTGGTCTCTGCCCCCAGTTCTTGGCACAGAGCTCCTAAAACCTTTGTGATTTCCAGTGACAGAAACACTAGGAGCATCTCTTGTTCTAATATTGGTCTTTGAACTCTGTTCCTGACCCAGGTCTTCTGAACCCCTTGTAATTTCCTGGGTGATAGGTGTGTCTTTTTTTCTAATGAGGTGACTCTGGGTGGGCTCACAGATAGCTCTTGGATTGCGGGCTGGTCACCGGAAAGACCAGGCCATGATTAGAAGCTTGGAATTTTCAGCCCCACCCCCCATTCTCTGGAGAAGGGAGAAGGGCTGAAAATGGAGTTAATAATTGATCATGCATATGTGTTGAAGCCTCCATAAAATCCCAAAAGTATGGGGTTCGGAGAGCTTCCAGGTTGATGAACACGTGGAGGTGCTGGGAGAGTGGCGCACCCAGACAGGGCATGGAAGCTCGGCGCCCCTTCCCACGTACCTTGCCCTAAGCATCTCTTCCATCTGGCTGTTCATCTGTATCCTTCATCATATCCTTTAATAGACTGATAAACATAATGGTTTCCCTGAGTTCTGTGAGCTGCTCTAGCAAATTAATTGAACCTGAGGAGGAGGTGGTGGGAACCTCCGAACTGTAGCTGGTTGGTCAGAAGCACAGGTGATAACCTGGGCTTGTGACTGGCGTCTGAAGTGTATGTGTGTGTATCTGGTGGGGGGGAGGGGGGGCAGTCTTGTGAGACTGAGCCCTTAACCTGTGGGATCTGATGCTATCTCTGGGTAGATCATGTCATAATTGAGTTAAATTGTAGGACACTCAGCTGATGTCACAGAACCCTCACACATTTGGTCACCAGAAGTGTCAGAAGTGAAGTGTCCTGTAGTGTTCTGTATAAAAGTAAAGGAGACTCACAGGGAAGTGAGACATAATAAGGTAGAGTTGAGTTTTCCCTACACAGGAGGAAAACTGAGGGTTTTTTTTCCTTTACAACTGCTGTGGGTGCCAGACCATGGGCTAGGCTTGACAATGGAGTTTGTAGCGTGAACGTAAGCTGGTAATTTGCTTGTAATGCATATTTATTCTTTAGGTCTTTTTAAATAATCTGTAAACTTAGGTAATGGTCCTTTTTTGTTGGTGTGCTCCTGGATTTTGTCTGTTGCCAGCATTGCTACCATCCCCACTGGGACATTCATTCAGAACTTATATCATTCGGCAAACATTTGAGTACCTACTTTCTGCCAGCTGTTAGTCTGTGACTTAATTGCCTAGTTTCTTGGGAGTAATGTTAGCAGAGGATAAGTGAATTGGATCACAGGACATTCTGGGCTGCCTGCAAAGTAGGTCATCCATACTGAAGTTCTGTATGGTAGTGATCTTATATTCTGTATTCTAAGGCAGTGCTGTCTAGTATAACTCTGATGATGAGAATGTCTGATCTGTGCTGTCTGTTATGGTAGAGACTAGCCACATGTGGCTACTGAGCATTTGAAATGTGGCTAGTGTGACTGAAGAACTGAAATTTTAATTTAAATTTAAATCACTACATGTGAATAGTGGCTATCGTATTGGATGGCACAGGTCTAAGGTATATAGCTGGTGTCTGTAGCTTAACTATTATTGCAGAAAGAAATTTAGGGCTTGGAGGAATGTTAAGAAATAATCCACTTACTTATTGTAGGTATTATCCTTAAAAATAGCTTTTCACCTTTACACATTCTCTTTAAATGCTTCTGGTTCAGAAAGATATCTGCCTAACAGCTCTTACCAGCTTCACCCAGCATCCTAGTAATATTTCTGAAACTCGGAAAAATTATGAGTAGCAGACATGTCAGGCATCCTAGTGGCAAAATTTGGATAGAATTCTTTGCTAACAGTAAAACAGCTACCGTTAAAATGCAATGATTTTTAAAATCGGTGGCTTCCAAATAAGAGATGGAGACCATCAGAAAACATGTCGGAAGATACTTTGTACCTAGCTGCTGTCTGTCCTCTGACAGAGACCTGTGGTCTTATCTGACTGTGTCTATACTCCGAGGGTACTGATCTGTTGAATGGCCACAGTACGTTTCCCTTAGATTCCACTCACCCATCCTTCCCACCCCTAATTTTTCCTTTCAGAGAGAATGATGCCCAGAAATAGCTGGGCAGAAAAATTGGACACTGGCTCTTTGCTTTCTGGAAATTAAAATCCTTACCTGTGATTGGCAAAAGAATAGATGCATAGATCAATGGGACAGAACAGAGAGCCCAGAAATAGATCTCCACAAATACAGATCTTCCTTGACTTAACAATGGGGTTACATCCCGATAAACCCATTGTAAGTTGAAAATATCGAAAGTCAAAAATGCATTTAATACACCTCACCTACTGAACATCATAGCTTAGCCTAGCCTACGTTAGACGTGCTTAGAACACTTACATTAGCCTACAGTTGGGCAAAAGCATCTAACACAAAGCCTGTTTTATGATAAAGTGTTGACTATCTCATGTAATTGATTGAATACTGTACTGAAAGTGAAAAACAGAATGGCTGTATGGGGACAGTGGTTGGAAGTGTATTGGTCGTTTACCCTTGTGATCATTTGGCTGACTGGGAGCTATGGCTCACTGTCACTGCCCAGCATCCCGAGAGAGGATCATGCTGCATATTGCTAGCCCAGGAAAAGATCAGAATTCAAAGTTCTAAGTACGGTTTCTACTGAATGCATATCACTTCATCATGAAGTCAGAAAATAGTAAGTTGAACCATTTTAAGTCAAGGATCGTCTGTATAGTCAACTCGTTTTTGATAAAGGGGAAAGGTAATTCAATGGAGGAAGGATAGTCTTTTCAACAAATGGTGCTGGAACAATTGGACATTCATATTCACAAAAATGAACCTAGACACAGACCTTACACCTTACGCAAAAATTAACTTAAAATGAACCATAGATCTAAATGTAAAATGCAAAACTATAAAATTTCCGGAAGAAAACATAAGGGAAAATCTATGTGACCTTGGGTTTGGTGATGAGATATAACACCGAAAGCATGATCCATGACAGAAAAAATAGACCAGTTAGACTTCATTAAAATTAAGAATGTCTGCTCCATGAAAGACACTGTTGAGAGAATGAAAAGACAAGTTACAGACTGGGAGAAAATATTTGCAAAAGACACATCTGATAAAGGACTTGTATACAAAGAACTCCTAAAACTCCATGCTGAAGAGACAACCCAAGTAACAAATGGGCAAAGGATCTGAACAGACATCTCATCAAAGAGGATATGCAGATGGAAAATAAGCATATGAAAAGATGCTCAACATCATTTGTTACTAGGAAAATGCAAATTAAAACAACAATGAGATACAACTACACACCTATTAGAATGGCTAAAATCCAGAACACCAACAACACTAAATGCTGGTGAGGATGTGGAGCAACAGGAACTCTCATTCATTGCTGGTGGGAATGCAAAATGGTACAGCCGTTTTGGGAGACAGTTGGGTAGTTTCTTACAAAGCTAAACAATCTTACCATACGATCCAGCAGTCATGCTCATAGGTATTTACCCAACTGATTTGAAAACTTGTGTCCACACAGACACCTGCACATGAATGTTTGTAGCAGCTTTATTTGTAATTGCCAAAAATTGGAAACAACCAAGATGTCCTTCAGTAGGTGAATGGATAAATAAGCTGTGGTTCATCCAGACGATGGAATACTGTTCACCTAAAAGGAATGAGCTATCAAGCCATGCGAAAGTATAAGTGAATCTTAAATGCATATTGTTAAAGAAGCCTGTCTGAAAAGGCTACACGTTATATGATTCCACTTATATGGCATTCTGGAAAAGACAAAACTATAGAGATGGTAAACATATCAGTGATTGCCAGGGATTTGGAGGGAAGGGGTAGGAGGTTGAATAGGTGAAGCACAGGGGATTTTTTTAGGGTGGTGAAAGTGTTCTGTATGATACTGTAGTGGCAGGATACATGGCACTAGACATTCGTCAAAAACTATAGAACTTTACAGTACAAAGAGTGAACCTTAATGTATGAAAATTCCCAGGATGGAATGCAGACTGTGACAAAACAATCTAACTAGTAACCTCACCGAAGGGGGTGGGGAAGAAGGATGCTGAGCTAACTAACTTTGGAGTTGAGTGGAGACTGTAAGACCAAAGGCAGAAGGAACTGTACCTAGGCACTGTATTCAAGATGGTCAAGTTATTTCTCATGGGGGTACTGGTTAACAATTCTGAAGCTATTATGTGCGTATGCTGGACTTGAGCAGTTAAGAAATGGATTGTAGGTGGCAGGAGCTAGGTTTTTCACTGTTGGAGTGGAAATTTATAGATCAGCAAGGGGAGGAGGCTAGAATGATCCATGTGGTAATGGATTAGTTGGAGACATCAGCATGAACTCATGTTTAGCTTAATATAGATACAGGTAATGTAGAAAGAGTATAGATATGTGTATATACACAAGTTAGTACGCACTCATCTGTTTCCTTGCTCTGCAGGCTGAGAGGGGCTAGAAGCAATGACACCCCAGTAGCAATGAGCACACCTAGTGCCCAGTTTGAAGCACTATTTGGTTTCTAATACCATTTCATAATAATAGGAACCAGGGCTCCTTGAAACGATGGCTGTTTCTAGGATTGGAGTACAGAACATGCAGGATGACCCGGGGGCATCTTACAGTGCCAGAACGTAAGGAAGTGCTTAAGAAAAAATCCACAGTGAAAGAGCTCCCGAAGGCCAAAGCTGAAACAATTGGAGCAACAAAATAAAATACTGGATTATAGAAATAATGTGTTATAGGATAATTATATATGAATTATAACCCAAAGTATAAAATAAACATCCGTGAGTCTGTACTGATATAAATAAATGATTGGGTAAATAAATGAAGAGACTAGACAAGAAGCAGTCTGTGAGTGTATGGGGAGGGGACAGTGGGGAAGTTGAACTAATTTAGGGGCCTGCAGAAAGTACTGCAGAACTGAGAAAAGGGAACAGCATTAGACGCACTGAGGTGGAAGAGCACGTCTCTGAAGATTACCCACTGCAGGATTTTGAAGAGACTTCTGCAGATGTCTACCTGTTTCATAGAGGGAGGCAGGACAAGGCCTCAGCATGACAGTAGCAGAAAGGTGTGAGGAAAGGACAGCCTGACTGGAAAAGGTCACAAGAAGACAGGTGGATGAGACAAAGAAGAATTGCAAGGAAGTGAATTGGAAAGAACAGAGTTTATGTCCACATGAGGGGAAGCAACAAGTATATTTTAAAGTCTTCAGCAGAAAAGAAAAGTCCCTTAACTTGGCTGATGCAGAAGCAGGGGTACTTGCAACTCTGTTTTAGGAAGCTAAAAACACCTAAAATAACTTATACTCATGGTTTTAAAGAAGTTGCAAGCATTCAGAAGGGTATAAAGTGAAAGAAAAGTAGCAATTTCTGCCGATATTCTCTAATCTCACTTTCCACTGATAGAGTGAATAGTTTCTTGTTTATCCTACCAGAATTTAGTTTATGAATGTAAAAGTCTGTAAATGTAATTAAAACACGCAGGCTCATAAATGGGATCATATTGTAGATGCTGTTTTGCAGTTTGCTTTCTTTATCCACCAATGTATCTTTCTATAGCCAGATATTTAGACTATTTTTAAAGAATGTATTTAATTAAACCCCTGTTGATGGAGATTTAGTTGTTTCATTGTTTTTTGCCGTTAGAAGTAATCAGTGTGTAGTGTATGTCCTCTGTGCCCCTGTGAAAGTATAGCTGTGTAAATTCATAGAAGTGGAGTGGCTAGCTCAAAGGGCACGTGCATTTTGAGTGTGCATAAACCTCGACAAATTTCCCTCCCGAGTTAACGAGCATGCCTGTTTCCCCACTCCCTTGTCAACACTGAAAGTATCAAAGTTTTAATCTTAGCAATCTCATTGGGAAAATATGGTCTCTCTGTTGTATTAATCTGCATTTGTAATTTTGTTCGTGTTGATTCGACATTTAAAATTTTTCATGCTTATTTGACATTTAAACATTTTTTTCTGTAAACTCTTTGTCCGTGTCTTGCCCCATTTTTCTGTTTTCTTACTGATTTGTAAGAGTTCTTAGAAGACTAATTTTCATATCAATCTCCATATTATTGCAAATATTTTTTCCAGTGTATCATTTGTCTTTTGACTTTATTTCATGCCATATATAAGTTTTTAATTTTTATGTTGTTGGTTGACAAATATTTCTCCTTATTGCTTCTAGGTTTTGTGTCATGCGTGGAAAGGCCTTTCCTCAGAAACTATTTTTCAAAGAGATATAATGTAAAAAAGGCTAATATTATACAGCCAAGATTATATAGACACTGACTTTATGGATGGTTGAATGAAACAAAGTTGTGAAATGAAACTATATACATTGTATTTTTTAGGTTTTCTCATGCAGTTTTTAAAAGAACTGGCAGAATATCATCAGGCTAAAGAACGCTGTGATGCAGAAACTCAGACAAATTCCACGTTTTCTCACAAAGACTCTCTGGGTAATTATAGCTTTCTTTCACAATTTCAATTCTTCTGTTTTCCCTTTGAGTGAAGGAAATGACCTGATTTTTACCATTTTATGTATTTGTCGCTTGAGCGGGGAGGGATGCAACCTGCAGGCAGCAGGGCGCTCATTTCCTCTGGGACCATGTTGCTGGAAGGGACTGGAAACTGCTCTCCAGGGCTGCTCCCTGCCCTCACGACTGCCAGGACTACACTTTCCAAATCGAGCAGGGATCCAAAGGCCTTTGTGCTTCCTTGCCTGTTGGGTTGAACCTCTCTTAACTGGGAGGTTCTTCCCTATGTCTCATCTAACTTTATTTTACAGCCACTAAGTGAGAAGATCCTAGACTATTTGCCTTGCAGAGAAGTAGAGAAGTCAGTGGCCCATCACTTTATTTTGTAGTTGAGGAAATCGAGATCGCCAGAGGAAGAGCAACTTGGAAACACCCAGTCTGGGTCAGAACTGATATTTGAGTCCAAGTTTTCTGGTCCATGATCTAGAGCGTTTTCCACTGTCCAGCCTTTCTGCAGTACCACCCTGCCCTTTTGTTAGTTGTACGCTGAGGGGAGAAAGGACACAGCTGGCTAAGATGATGTGATCAGTCGATTTCTTGGCCCTTCCTATTCCTAAAGAGCAATAGCACCTTTAACTTGTAAGAAGATAAGTTCGTAATTTGTAAAAACCGTATTGTATGACGAGGCCATTACCTTATTTAGTTAAGCTAACCAAAGTTAAGCTGACCAGAGACAAAACGCTGCCAATATTTTAGTCTACTACTTCCAGCCTTTTTTCCTGTGCATCCTTTCTGGTAGGGTTGGTGTTCTATGTGATTGCGAGTGTACTCTAGGTCCAGGTTTGGACTCTGCTCCTTGGTCAATTCCGATCCACAGTTGGTTTGAGGCCCACGAGTCTCCTGGAAAGAGCTCCAGAATGAGAGACAATCAACAGACCTGGCTTTAGTCCCAGTTATGCCATTAAGTAGTTGCTTAGCCCTCTGGGAGTCACTTAAACTGTATGGGCACCTGTTTCCTTCTCTGTAAAGTGGAAGACTTGAAACACATGATCTCTGATTGATTTTAAGGTTAGTCTTTTGAACATGTGTCAACTTTAACCCAAATCCAATAAAAGAGCTCTCTGCCTTGGCACTTAGAGATTGGAAAGAGATGCTGGTGTTTTCTGACTTAAACTGTACTCTTTGCTTTCTTTTCCCCCGACATTTTATGATCAAAATTTTCAAACATACAGAAAAGTTGAAACAGTTGTACAGTGAATGCTTATCTACCTAGATTCCACCACTAAATTTGTGTTATACTTGCTTGATCACTTATCTGTCCGTCCTTTAATCCGTCTTTATTGTTTAATGTTTCAAAGTAAATGGCAGACATCCCTGTAGTTTCCCTAAGTGTGCTCTCTGCTTTTGAACAGAGCTCTGGCTTCTTGCTCACCTGACCGCTTTTCTCTATCCTAATTTCCTGTGTTGTTTTTTAATAGCTGAGAAACTTCAACTTATTGATGATCAGTTTGCAGATGCTTACCCTCAACGTCCAAAGTTAGAATCTTTAGAAATAAAGTTAAATGAATATAAGAGAGAGATAGAACAGCAGCTTCGGGCAGAAATGTGTCAAAAGGTAGGCTTTATCTTGTTGCTATTAACCAGAGTGACAGTTTTGCTTGTCTTTTAATGTCTTAATCTTAGGTGTATGGGAAAATGTCTAGAATCTTTATTAATGAATATAATACTATACTGTTGTGCATGTTATTTTCCTTTCCAACTGATGTCATTTCTTTATGCCTTTTGAATGAATCATACAAGTACAATGAATGAGATGAAACTAAAGGTGAGTTAAACTAAATATATTTAGACAGAACATTAATGTTAAACCTAACCATGGAGAGAGAATTAGTTACTATTTCTTTAGTATAGTTATTGGTATTTACAATGATTTGTCATCAATTGGCAGTTGAAGTATTTTAAAGATACTGAAATAGCAAAAATTAAAATGGAAGAGAAAAGAAAGTCTGAGAAGGAATTAGCTGAGTTCCGGAATGAATTTGAGAGAGCTTGTCAAGTAAAATCTGAAGCCCTGATTTCTCGGGAAAAGACGACCCTTGCAAGAATTCAAAAGCACCAGGAGGTAATATTTTAAAATCATTTGCTGGGTGGCTATTTCCTGTAGCCGTTAGTAGAGTGGCTCATGGTCCAGGAGCGAGATGGGACAGTGGCTGGAACAGTCGATAGATCACGGCCCTAGAGATGCAGTAGGGACCGGGATCAAGAGCACAAGTGGAAGGATTGACGCAGATTCCCTTCTGCCGAGACTGCTGGAAGGACAGAACTGTGGATGTGAATGTTCTGTTGGGATTGTGAGAAACTCACACTAAATCCGCAGCAAATTTGAGGTTTAGGTAGCAGCTTCGAGGAGAGGATCAGAGGTGTGGAATGGCTGCTTGGGGGTAAAGGAAGAACAACTCTCTGAAGCAGACAGGACTGATCAAGCTGTGTTGAGGGCCCAGCTGAGATGGGCGGCCTGGAATCGAAGTAGACCAAACCAAGTGCTTGTGGATGATTGTTCTGTTATAGTGCTTGGGAGGATTTGTAAGGTCAGCGAGGGTGGAAAGATAGAGGTGATTGGGAAGTGGAGCTTTATAGAGCTGAATTTATTTGACTTGAGAAAGGCAGCCTATTTAATTGAAGACATTGGGGTTTGGTGGGGTGGTGAAGGGAACCAGAGGAGAGGGTGGGTGGCTACTAACCTAGGGGAGAAGGGGGGGAGAAGGGATCTGGGGATATTGACAGGTGGAAGAATAAGGGTGGGCCAAGAGGACAGAGTTGCAGGTTGAGGTTTCAGGGGAAGATTGGAAACAAAGTGCAGTGTGCTGCCATTGGAGCAAAGGTGAAGGTCCCTGGAGTAGAGGAGTCCAGGGCTGCGAGGGTCATCCATGTGGCCATTTGATCTTGTCACCTGGGTAAGTGACTGGACAGGAGGTAGAGGTTTAGGAGTGGCAGGGAGTGCGTGTCGACAGGAGGGTTTGGATCCACTTTAGGAAAAACAGGTTCCTTTTCCAGGGGTGCATCTCAGAGCAGACTGGCTCTGGGCACTGTTTCTTATCTACAGCCAGAACTACTGATATCAGGAGACGTTGAAAGTAGGAGGCTTCCCTCCAGCACCCACCCTTGCTCGGGGCGGTGTCTCAGTAAGACTCAGATATTTAATGGATATATACATTATACAAAGTCGCACTCCTCTATGATTTTCTATAGCACTTCTGGGAATTGGGCTCGTTTTAGCTAAAGATAAATGTTGGAAGCACAGGTCTTCGAGATGATTGGGTTGTGTTTAGACGAACAACTTCATCTTCAAGGTAGGTGACCGACTAGATCAGATCAGCCAGTTAACAGCCGAATCGCCATTTAGTTAACTGAGTCTCTGAAGGCTCTGGAGAAGGTTGCCATCCTCATAAAAAGCACCAGGCCTTTATTCCACCACCTGGAATGCTCTTCCCCTTCTCTCCCTGATAAAACTGTCCTCTCCTTCAAAATCCAGCTTAAGTGTCACCTCTTTGTGACACCTTCCCTGGCCCCCACTGACAGACTCCTTCAAGCATCGTTCCTGCCATGAGTCTTTTTGGACTTTGGTTGTGAAATCATCACATTGTAGTGTGATTGTTTGTTTCTCTCTCCCTGATTAACTGTGAATTTTTTAAAGATGGGGACTATATCTATTCATCTTTTTATATCTAGCTCCCAGTGTGCTCTTTGTCATATGATCGGTATTCAGTAAATCCTTGCTCAGTGAACACATAAGTGGAAGTGTGGCCTGTTCATTCGGGGGTTCATACGAGCTTGTTAATGCTGAGTCAGATAACCTATGAACTGAAACAGTCAAATGACAACAGAACCTTGGGAGTTCTAAGTTTTATTGCTGAATGTACATTTTGTCTCCTTTTTTCCTTCCTGAAGAACTTATCAAAATTTTAACTAAGTGTCTGAGAGATGTTAATTAACTAGGTAGAATAATTAGACAAGGGATGTTAGGAATATAGGGTAATGTAGTTTAACAGTCATTGGGGAAGGAGTAAGTTTTTGTGTAACTAGAATAGGCAAAAAGCATACCTTGAATTGGAGCCTCTTGAAAGTGAAATTGTTACTCTAAATGTCTGTCCTTCGATTGTTTCCTAGAATTTAGGAAGCAGTGTATTAGTTCAAATCTGTTTTATTTTCTTGAGCGTGCTTGCTAAAAATTAATGCTTTCCTATACAGACTGAAACAAAAGAAATTTATGCTCAAAGGCAGCTTCTACTAAAAGATATAGATTTGCTAAGAGGCAGAGAAGCAGAACTGAAGCAAAGAATTGAAGCTTTTGAATTGTAAGTAAGATGTGTTCGTTTTGGATATTCATAACGAATGAAATTAAAAAGAACTACTAAATATATGTCTTAGTATTCTGATGTTAATTGCCGAGCAGAGTTCTTGGTGTAAAGGTGACGCCTAGTTTAAAAGGCAGAAGTTAAGAGAAACAAAGACTAGGGTTTCACTTTTGAAACATTAGAGATTAGGATGAAAAGCAGAATGAGACACCATCATCAGGCTTACAGTAAGACCAGACAAATAATTTGAAGAAGTTAATAATGCTTTAACAAATCATATGTTTGGCATTTACTTTCCATCATTTAGATCTAATAGTTTCATGTGCATATAGAATTCCAGACCTGAATTCCAGATATCCAGACCTGCCGCATTTACCTGCTCTGCTGTCAAAAAAGGAAATACAGTGGCTCTGACTTGACTTGTACTGAGTGAAGCTATTTCTCATGGTGTGTGTGTTCTTTTTCTGAGTGCTCACAAGTGTTTCATCCTTCAGATCTTACCTGGGATTAATAACAAGCCCACCAGTCTATAGTTTGTGGAATAAGCCTTCTTTCCCATTTGAGATCTGCTATTCATTGACACTCACAGATACTCCAGAATCTTATTTCATTAAAGAATTTGTTTCCATCTTCATTAATGTTCTTTTCTCATTTATATGTAGGCTGGATTCGTTTGATTTCTTCTCTCTGCCTACCTTACTCTCTTTTTGGCAATAGTTAAGAGGTAAATTGATTACGAGAGAAAAAAAAGACGGAACCAGAGATGGTTCCTGATTATATAATCACTTCTTTACCTCTACTTCCCCTGCTTCCCCTCCCTCTAGGTATATAAGCTTAAATGTAGTTTACTGCTCCTTTGCTTTACAGGTTAGCCAGCAGAGGGAGCTAACACACAGAGCTTTAGCCTCTGCCTGGAATGGTCAGCGTTCTGTAGCACTTCGCATTATAGCTTGATCTAAGTACCTGAGAACCCAATTCCCTGGCTCTGGAATTGGTTTCGTGGTTGATTGAAGGTCTCACTATGAAGACCATTCCATTCCTAGTTATTTGGAAGTTCTGACTGATCCATCTATTTTTGGCTCTCTCTTTAGGCACTCTTCAATATTTGATCGATAGATTATTAAATACCAAAATCGAATCTTCTACCTTTAATACCTATGGGCTGATCAATTAAATCTCACAGTTAGAAACAATTTTATAGAAGAAATAAGCACTTAAGTACACTGACTTCAGTTTGGTTTGTAGCTTTGTAACTAATAATGTCATTCTTTCATCCCTGGATTGATTATGGCCATTTATCACTTGTAACCATTTTTTAAGTGTGAATCATCTTCTGTGAGAAACCACTTTGGTCTGGACACTTTCACACACCCTGCAACCAGGTGCTACCATATAGCTCCATCTGCTAGTTCAGATCCGTCATCACTAGGTCAGTTCATAAAATAGACGGAGGATTTCTGCCTCTTTTCGTTTACTTCCCAGCGGTGACAGTCACATCACAGTTTTAGTCTGTGGAGCTAAAAACACATGTTATTTTTTTCCCCTAAATCCTTTACTTCAGATATTATAGTTTTCTTATTTGCTTTATATATTTTTGCTAATTTCAGGGCCCAGAGGCTACAAGAAGAAAAAAATAAAAGCGTGACCGAGGCACTTAGGAGACGGGAGCTGAATATAAAGAGTATTGAGGAGACCTATGACCAAAAGCTCAAGAATGAACTGCTAAAGTAATTGTTAGGCATTTTAAAAGAAGTCATGTGTTTGAATGAAGTTGATGGAAATGTGGCAACACTGAGGAAGTAGATGAGACTAACATTTTATGACAAAATTTACTGTTTAAAAAAAATATGTTTTCATAGACAGTCAAGCCTTTCCCATGAGTATTTGAGTTAAGATGGTTTTAAAGAGTATAGAGAATAGCATCCTCTGCTCATTCTTATTTGTAGCTTCTCTAACATTTATCGAGGGCCTGTGATTTGCTTTAATTTTTAGGGCACCATGTGACTAGCTCAGCTTGCACAGCTGGTAAGCTATAAAATTAGAATTACAGTCACATTTAGTTATCTTTTCCTCTACCCCGCTTATACTGCCACTAGATGGGGATATCTAACAATTTAGAAATTATTTGACTTAGTGGTTATAGTAGTGGTCAATGAACATGTACCTTATATTCCTTCAAGATTCTGGAAAGGCAGAATCAAAAGAAATAAGCTAAAGTTAACTATATGAAGCAAAAAATGATATAGGGAAAGGAAAATATGGACAACTAGGGTTACTATGGCTTTCCTATTGTCTGAGTTTTGCGTTCCAATGAATAATTCCTCAGTGCAAACACATTGAGCCCATGTGGTAACTTCTCTCCCCTGTGCTCAGTATAGTGTCTGGCATGTAATAAGTATTCAGTTAGTACTTACTGAGTAAATGAATTCCTAGCAAAGAGATGATTCAGCTTGGCTGCTCTGGGTATTTCTTAATCATTGGCCTCTTTTTACTGCCTTGCTCATAATTTGTCATTGATATTTCATTATGTGGTACTTGCAAAAGTTTCTTGAGGTTATTGTTTAAAAGATTTCTATTAAAAAAGAAATACAGCACCTTTTCCATGTATCAGTTTTCTAATGATGGATTTTATCTACATATTTTATGTCAGCTCCTCTAATACAGTAGTAAACACTGAAGTCTCTAGTTGTTAAACTTTTAGGAATAAACGAGTAGAAGTGTGTGCGTTAACTTTACATAGCCATGGAAATAGTGAACTATTTGGTCTCGTTTGTCTGGCTTTGGGTGTCTTCATAGCAAATGTTGGAGTTTGGAGGATATTTACCATAGGAGGCCTTCTCTTTCCTTTCTCCCATCTCTGAGCCAGAAAGTCAGCTGGGAACAGCTGGTGGAGATAAGTAAAACTCCGTGAAAATGTACCTCTTGGTATCACTAATCCAGATATAACGCTGTTGGCAATTGGCTCTCAATACTGTGCTCAGCTCCTGCGAGCGAAAGTTCTTATCCTGGTTGGGGGTGGGGAGGCGGTCAGGTGGATTGGAAGTGACTGACTTGTTATCATTTGGGATTTAGAGTCTGTGGTGTACAGTGCAAGTTGAACTTAATTTACTCCTTTGTGTCAGTCGAGACCAGCTGAAACGCAATTGCTCTCAGTAACCTCACAATAACACGACCCTTCATTTCATGTGATTGAGTTTTTGGGACCTAATTTACAGGATCGCAGCAGGGTGTTACTAGACCTTTTATGTTCAGAATTTGGATCCCTGGCCTTAGCACTAAGATACTCTGCAGTTTATGCATTGTCATGGTCAGTGCCCTTAGGTGCCCCGGTGCCATAGATAAGCTCGTGCATTGATAGCAGTCTGTCCAGGAAAGTGACAGGAACTCATTTTTAGTCATTCTAATTCTCAGGTATCAACTTGAACTAAAGGACGACTACATCACTAGAACTAATAGACTGATTGAAGATGAAAGGAAGAACAAAGGTGATTCTTGGGGGAAAAAAGCTGTATTTTTCAGTTATGATGTAGGTTATTAGCTTCCTAAATTGGGTCTGTTCTATATCCTAAAAATATATAGCTTGCACTTCATTGATACTACAAAATTACACATTTTTTGTCCTTTTAATTTTACCAAATTAAAAAAGTAATCATTGTTTTTCATTACGTTTTTGCAAACCTTCATGTTTAACCTTTTATGTATTCACAAAGTTCAGTGATTTATTGGCAGGATTTATCCAACTTTATTTCAGTATTCAATATATTTTGATAAATAAATCTGTGATTGGCAAGAAGGTGGCAGAAACTTATTGCCACCCAGTAAATATTACTCTTAACCGTGAGAGACTTCACTTTTTACTTACAGAAAAATTTATTTTAACTTCTCTGTCCCCTGTGACCTGGTTTCTTATTTCTTTTACTTCTAATATATTTTTATGCTTCATGATGTTTTCACTTGACATATAACCTCCTAAACTGTTTTATACATTAGCCCAGGACTAGGGGAAGTTGGATAATTTTTCAATCTTCAAGTATTTTACATTTCAGTATATTTCTAGGAACTTGCCTGTGACAAGAAGTTGAACTCCTGTTGGAAATTTCAAGTGAATTCTTGGGAGTAAACAAGGGCTGGGTACTTGATACTGACCTGTAAGGTCACCCAGTGTGTGGCTGCTCCTTTGGAACTATCTTGCGGAGACTAATACTTCTTGAGAAATTAGTACCATCATTGTATTCGGCAAATTATTTTTTTATCATATATCTGCACAGACTTGTGTTAGATGAAGCGAAAATGACAAAATAGTAACTATAAAATCGTAACAGACAAATCTTGGTCTTTAAGGAAATTCAGATCTGTCAGCATGAGAGCTCTGAGCAGATGGTGTAACTCTGGTGAGTGTGTGTAGCAGGAGGAAGTTCACCACACATGACCGTTACAACTAACTGCCCATCACCTCTTGGGTAACAGGGCTTTATTTCTTTCTTGCCTGCTGATTTTTTGACTCCAACATCTGCTATTTTAGGTTATGAAATAATGGTCATTAGGTCTGCTGTACTGGCCATAAATTATTAAATGACTTCTGTATTCACTAGGAAAACATGATATTTAATTGGTGGGCTCTTTCTTTCAGAAAAAGCTATGCATTTGCAAAAGGAGCTCACAGCTGTTAATTCAAAAAAGGAAGAACTCAATCATTCTGTAAATCGTGTGAAAGAACTTGAGGTAATTGTTAAGCCTGTTGTTTTTTTGAACTAGATGTTAGACAATATCTGAAATTTTAGTTTTAGTCATACATAATTTATCTTAAGTATCCTCTTGATATGTTGGGACTGTTTATTATGTGACTAAAAGTGGGTGGCTGAACTTAACTTATTCAGTCGTTCTTCATTTCAATCGTAGTCTCCTAGGGAGGCCTAGAAAAGAGAACGTCCTCTGGGGCCTAGAGTCCTGCTTGAATCCTCTCTCTCTCCCCTACTGCTTGGGTGCCCTTGTGCAAGTTCCGTGACCTGGGATTCCTTATCCGTGAACTTGGGGATATTGCCCACATCCTGTGGTTGTTGAGGGACTTCAGTGAGCTGATTTGTGTGCCTGACCCCTAGGCAGTGCCCGTTCATCTTAGTTTCTACCTCAGCCTCTCTCCCTTCCTGTCAGCAGCAAGAGAAAGTTCCTATCACTGCATCGGGAGCTTACAGGTGAAAACAAAATGAGATGCATTTTTCACATGCCACTGTTACCTTATTTCTGTTCATTCATGAGCTTGCCATCTGAAACACAGAGTTGGAACTTTAAGTACTTAAAATATGTTCTGTATATAAAATTTATTTTTGCAACAGTGATGACTGACTGATTTGAGAACTTTGCAGACTTCTGTACCCAAACACGAGATATATTATATTAAGAAAAGGAAAACACCCCATAGCATGTTAGTGATATCTATCTCATCTTTTCATATTTAAAAAACCATATTGCTATAATCTGTGATTGCTCTTGGGCCTTGGTTGCATCTGGAAAATGGGGTGAAGCCCTTGTTTTGTGGGATGGGGTTCTATATAATTCAAGTTGGATGAACTTCCCTCTGCCCCAACTCTAGGGCAAAAGATGACTTTCATTGTTGTGGTTAGGGTCTTGTGGTTGCAGAGACCCGGATTCTGTCAAGTGACCTTAATTACATTGTGACGCCCAGCTTTTACTTAAACAGTATTGCAAAGTCGTCGTTCAAATATGTTTTCCTTTTGTCATTCCAGCTTGAGTTAGAGTCTGTGAAAGCCCAGTCTTCGGCAATAACAAAGCAAAACCACCTGCTGAGTGAAAAGGTTAAAGAGATGAGTGACTATTCACTCCTCAAAGAAGAGAAACTGGAGCTTCAGGCACAAAATAAATTACTTAAACAACAACTAGAAGAGAGTAGAAGTGAAAACTTGCGTCTCCTAAACCGTATGTCTTTTTTTCTGATTTGCATGTTTTTGTAAGTCATATTAGCTTTGTATTATGAAACTGTGCTTTGTACCTGCAAGGGAGGCTTCAATCGAGAAGATTTTATAAAATTAAGATTCTTGGATTGAAGTTACTCCTTCTTTGCTTGCTGGTGCATAATTAATAGTGTCACTAAGAAGAAATATTTTTGAACTGTACAAATCTGCCTCCGGATGGTACTAGGCTCCCCTCCCCCTCTGACCGCTGGTTGGTTTTGGCCAGTGGGGACATCCTCAAGCACTTGGAGGGAGGTCGAGGTGGTTATTGTCCCCCTACCTCCATGACTGTGGCCCTGGGCTGGCCCTGTGCCTCTCAGCCAAGCAGGATCCCCGTGCGTGTGGAATGGCCTCTCACTAGCACTCTATGCCTAGGCCAGTTTGCTCTCTCCAGGTCTGGGAATTCCTTCCTCCCCGACCCTCCAGGCCCAAGGAATAGGTAACAGCATGGCCCGTTACTAGCCCGGGGAACTACACCATCCTTTGTGGCTACCCTACGTAAGTCACTCTTTATTAAAGGGTCCTCCAATGACCCGAATTGGGGATGCCATCTGCTTTCTGCCTGGACCCTGAGTGCCACTGACAGATGCACAGATCGGGTTGGACCGTGGGGCACTCGTCCACAGGTTTTGATAGAGTGCTCCTTCTATGCCTTCTGTGCTTGATAGAGGAGAGGGGCAGGTTTTCAAGTTAATTTGAGGATTTCAAAGGATTCTTTTACTTGGAGTAGGACTCTGGAGAGTAGTCAAGTTTGCATTTACATGCTTTAAATTTTTCTGTTCTGAAATTTGTGAATCAGGATTGCTCCTAGCCCATTTAATAGAATTAATTGCATGTGTACAAAGAAGAGGAACAACAATTTGAAACGTCTTTAGCTGCTTTTGTCAAGTGAAATGAGAACACTTCAGGTTGGTAATGACCGGGCTTTTTTTTTCACCTTCGTAGGCATAGCTCAGCCGTCTCCTGAGCTGGTGATTTTTCAGAAAGAGTTAAAGAAGGCAGAAAATGCTATTGCGTTTGAGCATAAGGAGTTCGAAACCCACAAGCAAACTCTGCAGAAACAGCTGCAAAGTGAAGTGAGTAGTGCTCTTTGCTCATCCAGATGTTAGGCCGGTCCACTTTGGAGATGTGTAAACTTGGCATCCGTCACACCAGCATAAATCAGATTTATTTTAACATCAAAAATTACTCCCCCACTATGCCACGGGTATCCTTTCTCATCGGAGAAAATTCTCAAGTGATTGTATGACTTTATATTCATAATAGTAGTAAAATCCAGAGGAAAGCAAACAAACCTAAACACAAAATTTTCTAAGTCCTGAAAATGGTGCCCACTGTTAAAAATGTCTCTTGATTCTCACCCTGCGACTTACACATATTCACGGTCTCTTTCTGATGCCTGCCTCGTGCCCTGGAGTAACTATTCTTTGAGATGAGTGAAAAAGGAAGAGGATGGGCTGGCCCGGTGGTGTAGTAGTTAAGTTCACGTGCTCTGCTTCGGCGGCCCAGGTTCTCCGGTTTGGATCCTGGGCATGGACCTATGCACTGCTTATCAAGCCATGCTGTGGCGGCATCCCATATAAAGTAGAGGAAGATGGGCACGGATATTAGCCCAGGGCCAATCTTCCTCAGCCAAAAGAGGAGGATTGGCAACAGATGTTAGCTCAGGGCTAATCTTCCTCACCAAAAAAAAAAAAAAAAAAAAAGGTAGAAAACTTGTTTGTGCGTTCTGTCGTTGTTGTGTTATAGGCACTCCATGGATTACAGGCGTAAAGCTGCTCAGAATTGGCAAAACAGAAAATGAGAATAAGCCCGATCAGAGAACTGCTCCTTTTGAAGTGAGCTGTGATTTGTTCTACATTGATTTCTTTTCTTTCTCTACATCTTTTCAGATTGAGCATTCTGCACAGCTGAAGGCCCAGATATTAGATTACGATGCCTCTGTAAAGAGGCTAACTACACAGGTTTCTGATTTAAAATTGCAACTGAAACAAACTCAGACAGGTTAGAGACATTTTTAACTTATATGTGTATGTGTGTGTGTGTGTGTAAAGCTTCTGACGTTTGTGGAATGATCGTTACTCACTGAATTTTTAGTAATTCTCATAGTAGGGGAAAAGCCATAGAAATATGTATCAGAAGTAAACCTCCCTGTCCGTTTCAGGAATACCAGCTTGGTCATCAGCTAAAGTGACTTGCTTTCACAGGTGGCCCCTGGCTTGGGACAGCCTCATCACCCCAAATAGGAAAGGTGTGGTGGTGACACAGAAGTCCCCAAATTCATTCTGGACCTAGGCTTTCCTTTTTCATTTGTTCCTCTGATAATCAGGCCAATCGACTCTTCAGTGGTTTTCTGTATTCCTTGACAGATGTGTAAACATATAGCAGAAACAGGATGGCCTAGCAAAAAGAGCATTGCTGCTAAAATCAGAAAACGGTTTTTGTTTTTCGACCCCAATTTTGAAGTTAGTTGTTTGACCTTGGGCACGTTCCTTTAACTTCCTTGGACCTCCATGTCCTCATTTGCAATGGGGATAGTAACACCTACCGTGCCATGGTGAATGAAGATGCAGTGAGGCAGGTTCCAGTACAGGGCCTGGGACGTATAACATACTCAGGGCGTGGTTACTGCTGTCATTTGATTACTGTGTCTTCACCATGGATGCGTGACCCTGCCCCTTCCTACTTCTTAACGAGTATACTGCAGCTTAGGTATTTTCTCTAGCTGCTTTCAAGCTCAAAGGAAGTTTCTGTGTGTTACCGGTTGAACTGCTTTCTCCTGCTTTCTGGTTCTGAGCTTCCTCGGTGCCCGTTTGCACTCTTTCCTCCTCAATCCCTTGTTCCGTACTCCCTGCACTAGTTTTAATCTCTTTCCTCATTTCTACTCTTTCCTGTTCTTCATTTTCTCTCAACAATTCTGTTCGCCAAACTGCCCACAGCTGAAACCATGGCGATCTCGTATCAAGAAAAGTAGTGTAATGAAGATGGAACCTTTTCAAACACATGCATTGCCCATTGCAAGCATCTGTCCTGTAGCACCAGCGAAGAGGCATTGTGGAGAGGAGCCGTCACATGTACTGGCTTTGCGTTGGGAGATCCCAGCGGCTCTCCACCTTGCTAACTGTGTGACCAGCCTCAGTAAGCCTCAGTCCCTGATCTGTAAAATGGGAGCAGTGAGAGTTCTTAGCCCACAGCGTTATTGTGACTGCAGGTCTTCATTCCCTTCTCTGAAACTCGGGCCAAACACTGGTTTTCTGGGGCAGCATCCTGTGGTGAAACACGTTAATTATTTTGCAGTCAAATGCATGAATATTCATGCTGGGTGGAATAAATAAAGGTTATAAAGGGATTTACATCAGTTCAGGTCAAGTTTTTCAACCAAATGAGTTCAGGTCTGGTTAGGCTTTGCCACCCAATAAATTATGAATAAATTTTCAGTTCCCAGAGCTTTTTGGATTTCAAGATTGTGCATAATGGATTGTGCAGTAGTACACGTTACAAAAGAAGGCCTATGAAGCCATAGTTGGTACATACAAGCTCTCAATAAATGTTAATAATTATTATCATTACTGTGGCTTCAGAAAGTGTTTAATGTGCAAGTTTCTCCTTATTCTTCCTTTCTCTCATTTTTCAAAAATAATTTTCTTGAGTATATTTTAATTGTGTTCTCCGCCTCTTCCCCTCCTTTCTCACATTACCTTTCTGTAACCTGCAGCCCTAGAGAATGAAGTGTACCGCAACCCGAAACAATCTCTGATCGATCGTTCCATCTGTGGACTAATGGTGCCTCACGACGATGGTATAAGTGAGGATTTCTTGAAAAATCCTCTCCAACGGGAAAAGCTGACAACAGGCACAGTTACACCAAGGATCACAAGTTATCCCAATGCCAGCATGGAGGGTAGTTCCCCCGATTCTGACCTTGAGTTTGTAGCCAATACCAAGGCAAGAGTGAAAGAACTAGAGCAGGAGGCACAGCGCTTGGAACGAGCTTTCCGAGATTACCACCGAAGAGTGAGTCAGCACCCCGTGAAGAGCCCATTGGCAGCGCCAAGCCCACCACCCCTGCACTTGCTAGACACTCTCAAGAACATCACTTCAGGTTCCTCCAAGAGACGTGTTTTTGCAGAGGACAGACTTGTCTTTGAGCGGCCTCCAGTGGGCACATGTACAGAGGAGAAGAGCGATGCGTCAGAAGCGCTGATGGGCAGCTCGGCCTCACGGCTCCACAGAGGCCCTTCCTCCAGACGCCTCTCCTCCACTCCCCTTCCAAAAGCTAAACGAAGCCTGGATGGTGAAATGTATCTGGAAGGTAAGCTACTGCAGAAAGGGCTGCAGGATGCCCTGGATGTGGATGCATCTGATCTTCAGTGGCCTCCTATCTGAGTAAGAGTGCAGCCCTAGGCACCAGGAGGGCAGTAGTGGAAAGAGTGCGGGAGCCAGGCCTAGGGAAGCCCAAGCTCAGTGTCCTCTCTCTGAACCTCGCTTTCCTGCTTAGCAGGGTTGGAGTGGGAGGCAGTGGGAGAGAGGGTCAGCTTCTAGCATTTTGCTTGGCACGCAGAGGTGTTCAAAGAGGGACAGTGGCTTTTCCTTTACTGCTGGTTGGTTTTATACATTTTATTGTTATCATTGCGGTTTCATTTAGGTGCTTGAATTGTTAATTTTGTGGATCACTTATGCATCATACTCAGCTGTTTGCAAGGATAATAGAATTTATTTTCAAAGTAATAGAACTCCTTAGAAACCACGTTGCTGTCTTCTCCAAACAATTTGTAATATTCTCACCCTGGTTCCTTCTGCCCCTTAGGTCTGGGCCGATCTCGCGTTGCTGCCCCGAGTCCTTGTCCTGAGGGAACACCCCAGCCTTCACCTGCCGAGTCTAGGCACAGCCTTTCCGTCCATTCTCTCTCCAGCCCTCCGGAGCAGAAGGCCAGGTAAATACCGCATTCTGGTCAGTCTCAGCTGAGTCTGGTTAGCTGCATGGGGTCTCAGCCTTGACTTGTTTGGTTTTTTTAGGGGATATTAAAGACCATGTGGCAGTATAGAATTTGCAGTCAGGTTGTAAGATGATGTGTGATCTTTGAGAATCATCTGAATTGCCTGGGGGAAAAAGATACCTTTTAGCAAATAGGTAATTTCTGCTTGTTTGCTAAACTTATATATGGAATATGCACTATGGTATCAATAAGCATCTTCATAGTTCCATGAATAGACCAGGTTTATAAAGATAAAAAAACCAACGTACAAAATCTACGAAAGCAAATACAGTTTATGTTTAAACTTGAAACAGTTTCATACAATGATTAAAAAGTCATTTAAAAATATTTTGGCATTTAAATATAAACAAATAAGCTTCCAATTTGTCTATCATTGAAATAAATTCTAAAGTGATGATGGGTCCTTGGGTATGATTGCTGAAGCAGGATGGGGTAGATGTGTTTAGAAGCTCGATGGTGGGTCACTCAGGCTGGGATTCGAGTTGCATGTGGGCCTCCTGCCTGTGCCTGGTCCCCATGGCGGGAGATTCTGACTCCTTAGTTCTGGGTTTGATCCTGGGCATCTGCAAGATGAATCATTTCTACTGTACAGAGTTGAAAACTGCCACATGTGCCTATATGTAATGTTTTCTTTTTTTTGGTTGTTTTTTTGTTTTTGAGGAAGATCAGCTGTGAGCTAACATCCATGCCAATCCTCCTCTTTTTGCTGAGGAAGACCAGCCCTGAGCTAACATCTATTGCCAATCCTCCTCCTTTTTTTTTTCCCTTTTTCCCCCCAAGGCCCCAGTAGATAGTTGTGTATCATAGTTGCACATCCTTCTAGTTGCTGTATGTGGGACGCCGCCTCAGCATGGCCAGGTGAGCGGGGCGTCGGTGCGCGCATGCGCGCCCAGGATCTGAACCCGGGCTGCCAGTAGCGGAGTGCGCGCACTTAACCGCTAAGCCACGGGGCCAGCCCCTATAATGTTTTCTTATATTGCTCTTTTCTGTGATAAAGCCAAAGAGACAAGACACACCCGTGCCGAGTTAGGGCACTCTGATGTACATCAGGCTTATAGTATTGCATCTTTAGCTGGCTTATGCTGATGGCATACAGAATTTTTTTTTTCAAAAATGTTCTGTGGTTCTTGAAAAAATAAACTCCTCCTAGGAACGAAATTGAGAATGCAACATTATTCTTTGTTAACAAGGGTAGTACCTACCTCACAGCATGAGGCAGTTACGAGGAGTAACTGAGATAATGTGTATTAATTACTTAGAGTGATGCCTGGTGCCTGGTGAGTGCCCAATGCAGTGTAGCTCTTATTCTTACTGAGCTGAAAAACAATTAATTTTCTAAAGCATTTTCCTGAGTCACACAAGGTTTTTATCACCCTGTGCTCTTGGGTTTACGTTATTAAAGCTTCACATTCATGAATTTTATTCTTCCAATCCAGTCTTTATCAAAGACACGCTGAACTTCAAGACAAAAATGAATTTTCAAATCTGGACAAGCTAGCTTTTAAGGATAATAAGGAATTTGAATCATCTTTTGAATGTAAGTCCAAATATGAGTACTGGTTTTTATAAGTTGAAAATGTAGAAATCTTAGTTTTGGTGAAATATATCCATTTTTATAAAAAGCAAAGCAGTTACAAAGTAGGACATTTGTATTTTGTCATAAAACCACAAATACAGATATATCGCCTCGTTTTTATATCAGAGATTTTCAGGGGTGCGTTTGAGTTCTATTTTTAAAAATTTCAGGATAATCAATCATTTCAAAGTTGGAACTAAGCCCACAAGTAAACCTTAACTTAATTTACCAAGTTTAGGATTGCCTCAGATTTAAAATAATTGATTTTTTAATTTGTTTTTTTTTTTTTTCGTTTTTATGGAATATGAAGAAGCTAAGTTATTTTTCTTTAAATTATACTGATTCTATCAACTGCCTCAGATTTAGGAAACCCATTCTTAGTGAAAGAATGGAGGTGACAGAAAATGAGCTAAATTGTCTAGAAACTGGTGTCCTGGCTATGGCCTGCCTTAGATTGCTCCACCTGGGAGCCTGCTGCTTAAGTATAAAATAGGGGTGTAGAGTTGATCATCTCTGACATTCTTCCCAGCTTGGGACTTCTTTATATTTATATATAACCTATCATTTAGTCTCATGAGCTTCATTGCCAAGTCTGAAAGTATAATATAGTTTTTTTATTAATTTCATAATAGTTTATAACATTGTGAAATTTCAGTTGTACATTATTGTTTGTCAGTCACCATATAAATGCACCCCTTCACCCCTTGTGCCCACCCCCAGCCCCCTTCCCCCTGGTAACTACCAAACTGTTCTCTCTGTCCATGTGTTAGTTTATCTTCCACATTTGAGTGAAATCATACGGTGTTTGTCTTTCTCTGTCTGGCTTATTTCACTTAATAAAATACCCTCCAGGTCCATCCATGTTGTTGCAAATGGGACGATTTTGTCTTTTTTTATGGCTGAGTAGTATTTCATTGTATGTATATACCACATCTTCTTTATCCAGTCATCTGTTGATGGACACTTGGGTTGCCCCCACTTCTTGGCTACAGTGAATAATGCTGCAGTGAACATAGGGGTGCCTAAACCTCTTTGGATTGTTGATTTCAAGTTCTTTGGATAAATACCCAGTAGTGGGATAGCTGGATCATAAGGTATTTCTATATTTAATTTTTTGAGGAATCTCCATACTGTTTTCCATAGAGGCTGCACCAGTTTGCATTCCCACCAGCAGTGTATGAGGGTTCCCTTTTCTCTACAACCTCTCCAACATTTGTTATTTTTTGTCTTGGTGATTATAGCCATTCTAACGGGTATAAGGTGATATCTTAGTGTAGTTTTGATTTGCATTTCCCTGATGATTAGTGATGTTGAACATCTTTTCATGTGCCTATTGGCCATCTGTATATCTTGGAAAAATGGCTTTTTATATCCTCTGCCCATTTTTAGATCAGGCTATTTGTTTTTTTGTTGTTGAGTTGTATGAGTTCTTTATATATTGTGGAGATTAACCCCTTGTCAGATATATGATTTGCAAATATTTTCTCTCAGCTGGTGGGTTGTCTTTTCATTTTGATCCTGGTTTCCTTTGCCTTGCAGAAGCTCTTTAGTCTAATGAAGTCCCACTTGTTTATTTTTTCTTTTGTTTCCCTTGTCTGAGTAGACATGGAGTTCGAAAAGATCCCTCTAAGACTGATGTCAAAGAGTGTACTGCCTATATTTTCTTCTAGGAGTTTTATAGTTTCAGGTCTCGCCTTCAAGTCTTTGATCCATTTTGAGTTAATTTTTGTGTATGGTGAAAGATAATGGTCTACTTTCATTCTTTTGCATATGACTGTCCAGTTTTCCCAGCACCATTTATTGAAAAGACTGAAAGTGTAATATTTTGAACAGTTAAATGAAAGGCCTTAATAAATTTTACAAATTCTTTGTCACTAAATTTCTTAAATCGTTGATATTTAAATAGAATTCAAGTGATTATCAGCAAGTCAGATGCATTCTTCTCTGTCACTGGATTGATTTTCCTATTGGGTAATGAATTGAGTTTTGTAAATGAATCTCATTCTTTAAAGCCTAAGAACACTTGGAGAAGTGACTACATTGGCACACAGCCTCGTTGAGAACTTCTTAGAATCCTGTAAGGAAAAGGTTGGCCTGGTTGCTTTGGCTGAAACTTCAGTGCTTGCAGTTAGCTACCCCTACCCCACGCTGCACTCCCTTCTCTTGCTGTTGTTACTAAGAACTCACGGGACGATTGTCTGCACCTCGTGTAGATGCAGGGAACACGCCATGGCACTTTGAAGTGAACGGCTTCCATCCTGCTGGCGACATGCATCACGTGGACGCTGCTGCAGCCGCTGTGCCCACCAGCCCCGTCTCCTATCGCTACCCCAGTAAGTTTTTCTTTGTTTTAACTAACAAATAGCATGGCCGCATCCTGAATGCCAACCTCTGCTCTGTAAACTCTTTCATGTATCTCTGAAGGACCTTTTGTAAGCATATTATTCAAAGTCTTGGGGTTGGGGTCTTATCGTTGTTCATGACATTTCTGAAGTAATTCCCTATTTGAACATGTAAAGACAGAGCTGAGGAGAAAACTGTGCAGGCAAGGCTTCTCGTGTAGCCTTCCCGGGCCAGTTGCTTTAGAACATTTTTCTTGTCCAGAGTCTGACAGAGCAGTTACCCTTTTGCTTAAGACACTTCTGCAAAAACCGTTTCCTGAGCACCTTCATATCTTGGGAAATCATGGTGGAAAATTGAAATAATGGTTAACACCCATTATATGTTCTTAATGTGATTGTAATATTTTAATGTTATTTCTTTTTCTATCTATTTGCTTCCTTTGTATCTTAAAAACTTAGGACAGAAAAACCTTTATATTTTGATCTTGGGAAAAGCTGATGATGCTGGAGGAAAACTGGTTGTCAGACTTCTCTTGTCTGGCTCCCTTTCTCTTTCCTCTTCTCTTCTCCAGATTACCCGCTTCCCTACCAGTGTGGAGGGAGGAGCGGGAAGCTGGAGGCGGAGATCTGAGCTGCGTTCCAGGGCTCAGGCCAACAGCCAGGTTCTTTTCTCCTTGGACCAAAGTGTTTAAGCCTCAAACTTGAAAGGACATTCCTCAAGTAAAACCGTCTCTTAGTTCCTTCCAAACATTGGGAAAACATCACCCCCAGGACCTATGCAAAGCCTCTTGTAAGCAGTTTCTTGGTTTAAGTCACCACACTCAGGAATATGAGGAATTGCTGGAAGAAGCAAGGGATTTTGAGAGGGTTGATTTTACTGATTCCTGAGTAAGTCTGCTTTGGAAAGCACTCATCCACCGAGACGTGATCAAGAACTGGGCACTTTCCTGGGGCTGGGCATACAGCAGTGAGCCCACCTAAGCCCCTTTTCCCCAGACCCAAGCCTCTAGGGTGAGGGTCGGCCGGTCAGCACACCATCCCCGAGGACCTCCGGTGCGATAGGTACTGAGTAGGGATGGTGGCCACCAGAGAGCAGATCTAACAGCAGCCATCTGGCAGAGTCCTGAGTGAGTAGGGAATAAAAATAACGTACTAGAAGAAGAGAAACCAACTGAGTAGATGGGTGTTCTCCCTCTGAGATATAACGTAGATTATAATAATGGCTTTTAAAATTATTATTAAATAGTGTGGTTGCGTTTTAATCATTGAGAAGTTCTCTTATATTCTTCATTCCCCTTCTTCATCTGGGTGCAAAGGGAAATGAAAAAGGCTGAAACTTGGTATCTTTGAGCTGCCCAGTAGAAATGCTTCTTTTCTTTGCTCTTATGTCCAAAGAGGCTTCTTTGTATCACTCTGCAGCTGCAAAGTATGCCCCACAGCAAAGAAGTAGCCCTTTTTTTTTCTTGATCTTTTGTAATTGGCACCACACCATTCCTGTTTTGAGGTTGCTCTTCCCTATGAGAAACGACCCTGTGTAGGAGTAACCATTGTTCCACCAGCAAGGAGGAGATTGCATCTCTGCCTGTGGAAATGACTGACTGTCTCCTGTGGTATTTGAATTTTATGACCAGGAGAGAGAAGCCTGTGTTACCTCTCTCCTATTAGTAAAACTAACTCAGTTGCTGCTGGTGACTTAGAACAGGGCACAGCAAAAGCTTCAGAGTCCTCTAGTGAACCTGTGAATTTGTCTGTTTCTTAGCATTACTTGGGGAAAAAATTTTAGGTTATAGGCCTGAGCCGGAGGAGAAAGGTCAGCATAATCATCTGAGGGATTGAGATTTAATTAAGCCTGTGAGGTGTAGGGACTTGTGTGCAAGCCATAGGGAATAGACAAATAATTAAAGCATGGGCCTTGCCCGGAAGGAATAGACGTAAGAGAAACAGATACACAGGGTTTTTGGCAAGGCAGGTACAAAATACTGTGTGAATATGGTGCTGAAATGAGGAGGAGCTCACAGAGGAGGTGGCATTTCAGTGGAGGCTTGCCTAGTGGACGGGGTTTTGTGGGAGGAGGAGAGTGCATCAGGTTAAGGAGACAGTGAGAGAAAGGGGAGTCAATCAGGAAAGAAAAAGGCAGATCGTCAGTGCCTAGACCGCCATGGGTTTGGACTCTACCAGAGCAGAGACAGTGCACAGCAAATGCAGATCTCCTCTTCAGGAAATGACTGGTGCTCATAAAGATGGATTACTTGAAGGCTGAGACTGATGTCAGGGAGAGCGCTGACTAGGTTGTTTCAGCCGTCAAGGTAAATGGTGATAAGGACGCTAATTGCAGCCGGAGGAGCAGAAGGAGGTAGAACCTGTAAGCCCTGGTGGCCGAGTGGACATAGCTTAGAAAGAGCATGAGTAAAGGGACAGGAATGATGACTTCAGGTGTGAAGCCGGTCCCGTGGGATTTCCACATGTTGATGGCAGGGAATCCCTTAGAAACATGGATGTGAGGCTGGGGAGAGAGATCAGGACTAGAGAAAAGATGTGGGCATGATCGTGACAGAGGCAAGAGCTAACACCCCAGAAAGGGATCAGCCTGGAGGAAGTGGGGAATGGTGGCAAGATGGCGAGAGCAGCGGGGCGAGGGTGGTGGTTCTGTTCCGTTCTGCTTTGGGTGGGAGAGACTTGAGCGCCTTTGTGGGAGTAATGGGGAGAGTTGTGAAACTGCTGTGTAAACCAATGGGGACTAATGGTTAAGTCAGAATCCTAAAGCTAGGGGAGGGATCGTAACCAAATACAGAGGCAGAAATGCAGGGCTTGCCTTGGAAAGGATGAAGCAGGGAGGAGATGGGTGAAGAGCATGAGAAAATGTGATGTGGAGGGCAGGAGAGTTGAAATCACTCATGGTAAGGGTGACGTGTATTCATCTCAGTAAAGTGAAAGGCGGGGTGTGGTGCTAGGAGTGGGTCTGGGGGCTCGAAGACCATGAAGATGGACCAGCAGCCTGAAGCAGGTCGACAGAGTCATCTAAGAACCAAGCAGAGTCTCCCTGAGTCTTGGCAAGGGCCCCTGCAAACCGAGCCAGCCTTTGTTTGAAAAATCTGATGCTGGAAGCTACTTGCCCTTTATTTTCTGTCCCATTAGGCATAGATCTGAAACAAATTGGAGAACAGAATGAAGAAGAAAACATATGGGAACAGCGCTTGAAAGAACGAAGGCGGAGAGAAGAAAGAAGGCACAGTGAACGACAAGAAGCTTTAGAAAGGGAACGAAGAGAACTAGAAAAACTGGATCAAGAAAGGGTAATGATGATATGTACAGCTGGATTCTCTGTCCTAGTTTCTCCATGGTACACCTTCAGTAAGTACCTTCCTCTTAGGGAAGTGAGTCCTTATGTGTCCCGAAGTCCTAGGAGTGGCAGGTAACTTCAAAAGCCTGTTGTAGGCCTCCCGATCCTCTCCTTTGCTTGAGAGCAGTGAGAAAGGCTGCGTGTACACACCTTATGAGTTTCACAGGAAACGGTAGCTTTTGCAAACCTGTTTGCGTGCATTCTCTGCTGGTCTTGAAAATAAGCCCATAAAGGAGGTGGGGGGACTGTGCTTTGCTATAGATCTTCCCTTTGTAAATGGGGTTTAAAGAAGAGATTCCAAAGGTCAGCTAGCTGGGACTAGAGGAACCCAGGGGAGGTGACTGCCAGTCCATGGTTGCTTCCAGGGACTCCCCTGCCCTTCTCCTTCCTCTGGTTCTCTTCTGGTCTTCTCTGTCCTGATTCTAGTCCCAGACAGATGGATTAGTCTGGCCACACTTCACATGCCTGCTGAGTCTTTCGTAAATTAATCTTCTGTGTGGATGTTCCTTGGAGTCCTGGTTAATTTGGTTTAAAACACCAAGACACTTTAGGCAAATTAATCTCTTCATTCAATGAGATGATGTGTTTGTCTCTCTTTGATAGTAGCAATGACTTCAATAAAAAAAAAAATATATATATATATCTACAGTTCCCTGGCATGCAGGTTGTATTTAGAGGATCAGGATTATATTACCCTGTGTTTTGAAACACTTCAGCTTTTTAAATCTATTTGTGTATTTCCTCTTTTGGTGCCCATCTGTTTCGCAGAGAATGATTGAAGAATCATTGAAGGTTGAAATGGAAAAAGAATTAGAAAAGAGTATTCAAGAAATGAAAGAAAAATCTGCTTATGGTGAAAATACTTTAGAGAAATACATGAAAATCATTCAGCAGGATCAAGACCAAGAGATGGCAGATAAGGTGCTGACGCTGTGGGCGGGCCGTCTGTGGGTCGGGGGCACCGTGGGCTTCTGTGGTTTATTTGAAAACCTTGGGACAGGAATCTCTTCTCCATTGGAGACAGACAGGTAAAAACATAGAAAATCTAAAGTTCAAATGGAGCCTCGAGTCTTTTCAATATATAGACTCTTGACAAAACTTCATCAGTTTTGCTTGGGTAAAAGATGGAAGAGATTTTGATGCGTCAAAGTTTTGTAAAAGTTGAGATGTCTCTTATTATTTTAAGAACAAGAAAGAAATATACATATCACTGAATATGAATGCATTGTTCCTGTCTGAGACGTTAATGTTTTCTCTAAGTCTAAAGTATATGAGTGTTGAGAATGCATGATGGATAGTTTATTTTGATGTGCTGACTAAATTTCATGTTTAACAGTCACCTCTCTTTTTAGACTGTTAAATTACATATATATTTTAAAAATAGTTATTAGAGAAATCAGTGTTTAATAAAATTGATGCATATCTAATTTCAAAATTCTTCTTCCCCCCTCTTTGTATCAGAACTCGAAAAACATTGTCAGAGAAGGCTCACAAGTGGACACACTGCCATCTAGTGACAAAGAGGAAAGGTATGGTGTCCTCAACTTTGTGTTTTTACGCAGACCATTATCGCATTGCTGGTTTTGTCAGCCAAGAGAAACATTCAGATGTTTGAGTCGGCCTGTAAGAAATTATTGAATCAATCAAAATTACTGACTTTAAAACAAAGTCAATTGTGTTTTTTAACTCATGAACTTGCTACTGATACAAATTGTAAGCGAGGGCAGAAACCCCACAGGGAAGCAATGAGAACATTACCAAGATACCCAAATCAACTTGACACGAACTTAACAAATTTAAAAACTTCTTGTCTTCCCCTAATTTAGTTTCCCAGGCTTTTCTCCTGAAGAACCAGATGACTTTTGGTGACCACGTTTGCTATCCAGCTTCTTACTCAGCTAACGCAACGAAAGGCCCGTGAGTTGTCTGAACAAACACACAACTCTCAATAAAAATTTCATGTGTAATCCAGTGTGATTTTGTTTTCATAATTGTGTTTGGCACTATAGTGTATAAAATAATCTATTCAAGTGACACTTCTTCAGAATTTCTCATTCTTAGGCCTTTCATTACACCAGAATGGGCTATTTTTTTCTTTTTCCATTTTTGTCTTGGGTTATATTTATTTGCAAATTTATCTTACTGGTCAAATTCCAGCCCTGCATTTTGGAAGTTTCAGCTCTGTTCCTTCCTCTCTAGAGCTGGGCTACCATCTGTCAAACAGGAGGCCGTCGTCCCCAACTCTCTCCTTGTGATTTGTCCCGAAAACAAAGACAGGGTTTTCTATTCTAGGCTCTAGAAATAGTACAGTATCACCTCTGGTCTTTACTTTTGACATCTTTTTCCTGAGAATCAACACAAACCCTTCTTCGATGGTGATAAAAAGTGAAGGTAACATTTATTGAGCACTTACTGCATGCCAGGTACAATTTTAGACCTTTACATGTGTTAACTTGCTCAATGTTCATCGCAGCCGTATGAAGTATAGGTACCATGACTCCACATTTTACAGATTAGGAAATGCGAGGCACAGAGTTAGTGAGACCCGGGACCGTCAAGTCGTAGAGCCAGGATGTGTACCCAGGTGTCAAGGCCAGTGCTCTAGTGAAAGACATCCTGGAACTTGCAATCAGTTACCCATTGGATGTCCCTCTCCAGAATGACCCTCTCCACACTGACCAAATCAAGGTAACTGCACTTGAATGCAGCACCAACATAACTTCCACAAAGGGAAGAGGAGGCTCATTTGCTCTTGGCTCCCCTTTCTTCATCTTTGTACACCTGCGGCTCTCAGTCCAGCGTCTTGCGTGTGGGAGCATCTCGGAAAAGTTCTCGAATGACACTGCCAGTATAGTCACCAACAAGCACACACACAACTGCTCTGAGTGTGAACAACCATCCCGGTTTGCGTGGACTGAGGGATGTGAGACGTCCAGTGCTAACCGATGGTCACCCAGCTCCTAACACAGGAAGGGTTTGTCGGGTCTGTCTTTCCAGTAAAATCCTAGAGGAGATCATTTCCCTTTACAAATACAGACTAGGCTGAATTGTTTTTCCCGGTGATACTTGTTTGGCCATTGAGTTCCATAACAAAGTGGGGAGGAGATTTTTTGGTATATATTATTCCTTAGGCTTCTAAGGAATTTTTCATTGAAGTACACCTTTGAAAGTAATTGAAAGAAAGAAGTTGTCCAGGCGCCATTCATTATCACACTTAGCATAGCAAACATTGAATCATCTTGCCACCAAGAACTTGGCATCTTCTCTTTCAACAGCACCTCAGGTAACTTTTTTTTCTTCCAGCTTTATTGAGATATAATTGACATTTAACATTGTGTGAGTTTAAGGTATAGAACATGTTGATTTGATACACTTGTATATTACAAAATGATTACCACCATAGCGTTAACTAACACCTGCATCCCGTCACATAATGACCACTGATTTGTGATAAGAACATTTAAGATCTACTCTCTTAGCAACTTTCAAGTATATAATGCAGTGTTATTAACTATAATCTCTATGGTGTACATTAGATCCCCTGAACTTATTCATCTTCTAACTAGAAGTTTGTGCTCTTTGACCAACATCTCCTCTTTCTCCCACTCCCCAGCCCCTGGTAACCACCATTTTAGTCTGTTGCTATGAGTTCAGCTTTTTAAGATTCCATGTGTAAGTGAGATCATAAAATATTTGTCTTTCTCTGCCATGTTTCACTTAGCCTTATGCCCTCAAGGTCTATCCATGCTGTTGCAAATGGCGGGATTTCCTTCTTTCTCATGGCTGAATAGTATTCCATTGTGTATATATACACATCTTTATTCATTCTTCCCTTGATGGACACTTAGGTTGTTTCCATATCTTGGCTATTGTGGATAATGCAGCAAACATGGCAGTGCAGACATCTCTTCGAGATCCTGTTTTCGTTTTTTCTGGATAAATACACAGAAGTGGGATTGCTGGATCACACGGTGGTTCTATTTCTAATTTTTTGAGGAATCTCCATACTGTTTTCCATAGTGGCTGCACCAATTTATATTCCCACCAGCAGTGTATGAGGGTTCCCTTTTCTCCACGTCCTTGCCAGCACTTGTTATCTCATCTTTTTGAGGATCGCCATCCTAGCAGGTGTGAGGTGATATCTCATTGTGGTTTTGATTTGCATTTCCCTGATGATTAGTGATGTTGAGCACCTTTTTGTGTACCTGTTAGCCACTTGTATATTGTCTTTGGAAAAACATCTATTCATTTCCTCTGCCCATTTTTTAATTGGATTGTTTGTTTTTTTGCTATTGAGTTATATGAGTTCTTTACGTATTTTGGATATTAACGCCTTATCAGGTATGTGGTTTGCCAATATTTTCACCCATTCAGTAGGTTGCCTTTTCATTTTGTTGATGGTTTCCTTTGCTGTACAGAAGCCTTTCAGTTTGATGTAGTCCCACTTGTTTATTTTTGCTTTTGTTGTCAAACCCAAGAAAATCAACACCAAGACCAGTGTCAAAGAGCTTAACCCCTACGTTTTCTTCTAGGAATTTTACGGTTTCAGGTCTATGTTAAAGTCTTTAATCCATTTCAAATTGATTTTTGTATATGGCGTAAGAGAGGAGTCCAGTTTCATTCTTTTCCATGTGCCCATCCAATTTTTCCAACATCATTTATTGAAGAGACTGTTCTTTCCCCATTGTATTTTCTTGGCTCATTTGTTGTAAACTAATTGGCCATGTATGCATGGGTTTATTTCTGGGCTCTCTATTTTGTTCCATTGATTTTTGTGTCTGTTTTTATGCCAATACCCTACTGTTTTGGTTACTGTAGCTTTGTAATATAGTTTGAAACCAGGAAGTGTCATACTTCCATATTCTTCTTTCTTAAAATCGCTTTAGCTATTCAGGGTTTTATTTATTTTATTTTGTGGTTTCATACAAATTTTAGGATTGTTTTTTCTATTTCTGTGAAAAATGCCTTTGGAATTTTCATAAGGATTGCACTGAATCTATAGATCGCTTTGGGGAATATGGACATTTTAACAATATTCTACCAATCCACGAGCATGGAATAGCTTTCCATTTATTTGTGTCTTCTTCAGTTCATTTCATCAGTGTCTTACAGTTTACAGTGTACAGATCTTTCATCTCCTTGGTTAAATTTATTCCTAATAATTTTATTCTTTTTGATGCTACTGTAAGTGGGATTGTTTTCTTAATTTCTCTTTGATAGTTCATTGTTAGTGTATAGAAATGTAGCTGATTTCTGTATATTGATTTTCTATCCTGCAACTTTACTGAATTTGTTTATTGGTTCTAACAGTTTTTTGGTGGAGTCTCTAGGGTTTTCTATGTATATCGTGTAATCTGCAAATAGAGACAATTTTCTTTCTGATTTGGATGGCTTTTATTTCTTTTTCTTGCCTAATTGCTCTGGCTAGGTCTTCAAGTACTATGTTGAATAAAAGTGGCTAGAGTGCACATCCTTGTCTTGTTACTGATCTTAGAGGAAAAGCTTTCAGCTTTTCACCATTGAGTATGATATTTGCTGTGGGCTTTTCATATTTGGCCTTTATTGTGTTGAGGCACGTTCCCTCCATACCCAGTTTGTTGAGAGTTTTTATCATGAAAGGATGTTGAATTTTGTCAAATGCTTTTTCTGCATCTGATGGGATGGTCATATGACTTTTATCTTTCATTATGTTAATGTAGTGTATCACGTTGATTGATTTGCAGATGTTGAAGCATCCTTGCATCTCTAGAATAAATCCCACTCATTCATGGTGTGTGATCCTTTTAATGTACTGTTGAATTTGGTTTGCTACTATTTTGTTGAGGATTTTTGCATCTGTGTTGAGGGATATTGGCCTGTAATTTTCTTTTCTTATAGTGTCCTTGTCTGATTTTGGTATCAGGTTAATGTTGGCCTCATAAAATGAGTTTGGAAGTATTCCCTCTTCTATTTTTGGAAAAGTTTGAGAATTGGAGTTAACACTTTAAATGTTTTGTAGAATTCACCAGTGAAGCCATCTGGGCCTGGACTTTTTTTTGTTGGGAGATTTTTGATTATTGATTGAATCTCCTTGCTAGTAATTGGTCTCTTCAGATTTTCTGTTTCTTCATGGTTCAGTCTTGAAAGGTTGTATGTTTCTAGGAATTTATCCATTTCTGGTAGGTTGTCCAGTTTGTTGGTATGTAATTGTTCATAGTAGTCCCTTATGATCCTGTGTATTTGTGTGGTATCAGTTGTAATGTCTCCTCTTTCATTTATAATTTTGAATCCTCTCTCTTTTATTCTTGGTTAATCTAGCTAAGGATTTGTCAGTTTTATCTTTTAAAAAGCCAGTTCTTGGTTTCACTCATCTTTTCTTTTTTTTTTTTTAATTAATTTATTTTTCCCCCAAAGCCCCAGTAGATAGTTGTATGTCATAGCTGCACATCCTTCTAGTTGCTATATGTGGGACGCGGCCTCAGCATGGCCAGAGAAGCGGTGCGTCGGTGCGCACCCGGGATCCGAACCCAGGCCGCCAGCAGCGGAGCACGTGCACTTAACTGCTAAGCCACAGGGCCGGCCCTCACTCATCTTTTCTATTGTTTTTTTAGTCTTTATTTCATTTATTTCTGCTCTGATCTTTGTTATTTCCTTCTTTCTGCTAACTTTGGGGTTAGTTCTTCTTTTTCTAGTTCCTTGAGGTGTAAAAAGTTAGGTTGTGTATTTGAGATCTTTCTTATTTCTTAATGTAGGCATTTATTGCTATACACTTGCCTCTTAGAACTGCTTTTGCTGCATCCCATAAGTTTTAGTATATGTTTCTATTTTCATTTGTCTCGATGTTTTTGATTTCTCTTGCTTTTCTTTTTTGACCCATTTGTTGTTCAGAAGCATGTTGTTTAATCTTCCTGTATTTATGAGTTTTCCAGTTTTTTTCTTGTAATTGATTTCTAGTTTCATACCATTGTGGTGGGAAAAGATGCTTGATATGATTTTAATC